TTCCACCGAAATTTCCGCGGAGAATCCGTGCGTTTCCGGCTCTGAAATATCGAGACTTCGTGAGCGGGAATGAAGGAGAATATATACCCACAAAGGAAGGATACAAAACTGAAATTTGCAATGCATATACAGTATATGAAAAAAGCAGAATTGGACCCAATGAATGTCTCAAAAGTTGCATCATCAATGCCTATAGTTATTAAATGCCGTTTCCGTGGGATATTCTCAGCTTCAGGTTTATTTTTTTCATGTTGACCAGTCAAAACAGACAAATTTTAGCAGAAATCTTTGCACATATTTAGCTCAAATGAAACATTGATTGATTGATTTTTTATTAATAAATACAGTATATTTATTAGCTGCTTTTCAATGTTCACATACAAGGTTCAAACATTTTGCCTCATCCTTCCCCCAAAACACTCACAAATCCATCCAAAATAAACTAAATCACAGAGCATAGAAATTCAAATGCATTAATCATGGATTGGCACACCTTTTTTAAAGCAAAATATCACAACACCAGAAAATTAGTGAGCAAAATTTGAAGCTCAAGATATTCAGCCTGTTCCCATATAACTATCAATTGGTTGCTCAATTAGAAAGAATCTTTGAGGAAAAATAATACAGAGCCAACACTCATCCCTGGTCTTCCAAGCATATCATGCATGGGGAACTTTGACTGAACCCCTTCAGTGAATTATCACATTATTTTAGGGACATGTATAGTAGAATATCTTTTGGTAATTAAATCACTGATACTATAAAGTCATTGTGGTGCTCAAATATCAAATATATTGGGACTAAAAACGGTGTGTCTATAATATGCAACAGCCTAATACTCATATGTATTTGGAAGAATAAAAAATACAAAACAATTTTCAACCAGATTCTCCAATAATTTCAGGAGGAATTGCTCAACTTATGAAATTTGGCCAGACAAATACAACTGCTTCTTCAAAAAGGTACTGTATGTATTTTTGCTATTTTAGTCATATGAAGTAGTTGCATTGAAAAGACTTCAATTTTGTGGGGTTTCTCTTATTCTCATGCTTGCCTTATTGTTTGAACAAAAGCTTACTTTTCTAATCTCAAATAATGTTTTTCAAGGTAAATGAACTGCATTATCCACAGTCTGAGTACCGGACATTAATTTCCTTTGTACCAGCTTGGCGGTGGATGAGTTTCTTTGTGAATAGGAAAATAGCGTTATTCTACAATTTTAACCTGCAATATACGAGGGTTCTAACAAAAGTTCTCGGAATGAAAATGAAGATGGCGTCTAATCCAGCTGGAAAAAAATTATTCTTTAGGGCAACCATATTCTTTGGCACAAAAAAAAATCAGCCCAGTTTGACAATTTTTTTCAATTTTTTTCAAAATTTACCCTGGCAGAGTTTTGCTATACACTCAACAGATGAGGCACCCTTCCTGCAGCTTTTTATTTTTTTTGTGGCCCAGTTTCCCCCTCAGAATTCTTGAAATCAACTTGGCATTTTCTCTAAGGGTTGCCTCCAGGTCATCTAAGGCAATTCCGCCATTTTCATCGACAGCCGCCGTCACAGCCACCGCCGTCACAGCCGCCAAAGTGGCGGCCACTTTTTTTCGAGCTCGAAAGTGGCGGCTGTGACGGCGGCTGTTGATGAAAATGGCGGAATTGCCTTAGATGACCTGGAGGCAACCCTTAGAGAAAATGCCAAGTTGATTTCAAGAATTCTGAGGGGGAAACTGGGCCACAAAAAAAA